CAAAAAAAAAAATTCCGAGGGGACGTGGGCGGGTGCCGGAACTACCTCCAGAAACGCAATCAGACGCCCGCCCTTGCCCCGCGGTTTCAGGAAACTAGTACCTCCGAGGTACTGTATTTTTACTGCGCGTCTTCGGCGGGAAGCCTCGGTTGCGCCACGGGAGCCCGACACTTCCCAGATGTGCCGGTGAGATCACGCTCGGAAACTCCACCTATCTTCTGTCCCTCTGGTGTGCCTAATGCTCCGTGTGACCGCAGCCCCTGCTGTTTTGTTTCTGGTCTCTCTCTCTCCTGACCCCCATTGTTAAATTGCCTGTGTGTCTTGCAGTTATCCTGATTTTTTTAAGCTGAGAGGATCCAGGGGTACTCTGAACACAAATGATTTTTGCTTGTAGCATTTTTTTTTATTGGTGTGATTCTTGCTGTTTTTAAATTCTATTGTAAGCTGCTTGGGGTCCCTTTTCTGGAATAAAGATGGACTAGAAGAGCTGTAAATACATAAAATGTTTCTCTGTGGAGTGCCTTTGACTCTAATTTTGTGAATGATCTTTGCACTTTAGTAATGATAAAAATAAAAGGGTGGGGTAGGGAGGAGCGATGTTAGTGCCCATACTGAGGCACTGTTGCACCATAGTTAATGTTCAAAGGAAAGGGAGGGAGAGGCATGCACACGTTGCAGGGGAGGAAGAAGCATGTGGGCCTAGGGCGTGCTCCTGCAGCACAATCCGAATAATCTTTCCAGCCCTTCTAAATCCACTGACGTCAGTGGTCTTAGGATGGTGTAACTCTGCTCTGGATGGCACTGCACTACTTACATTATGTGTGCGCTGGGTGAGAGAGAAAATTGCAAGCATTTTGCTCTTTGTTTCTGACTGCCACTTTTCCTCCCCTCCCCCCCCATGGTTCAGATGGGGGTTAAAATCCCTACCTGCTTCTGTCTGATTTCTGCACAAAGCTGCTTGTGATCAATGCTAGAACATATCAAGTCATCAAACCATGTTAGATTTTGCAATATTGTCTTTTCATATGTCTGCCCGTTGCTGCATTTGTACATTCGTTCTCCTACTAAGTTCTGATACTTGGATACATGTGGTGCTGTTGTTTCATTATAATTTCAGACTTTGGAGCTTCAGCCTCCTAAATCCATAGTTGATGCCTACGTCCTGCTAAATCTTGGGGATTCTGTGACAACCGATCATATATCTCCAGCTGGGAATATAGCAAGGAACAGTCCAGCTGCCCGTTACTTAACCAGCAGAGGGTAAGTCAAGAGTCACTGGATGTGTTTGGGGAAAGGTAGAATCCTTTTGAGTTTTGCTTTCCATCTTTTTCTTTCCTCTCATTTAGCTTATTTTCTTTGTTCTCAGTAACAATCATGTTTGCCTTAGTATGGTGTAGTGATTCAGTTGTCAGACTAAGATCTGGTTCGAATCCCTCCCCTGCCATGGAAGCCGCCCTGAGCCCTATGGGGGAGGGCGGGGTATAAATTTAAATAATAAATTAATAAATAAATAAATAAAGCCTGCTGGGTAACCTTGGGCCAGTCTCATACACATTCAGCCTAACCTAACTCACAGGGTTGTGGGGATAAAATGGCAGAGAGAAGAACAATGTAAGACATTTTGAATCCCCAAAGCTTGCTTTAGAAGTTTCCAAACAGAAGTTCTGTAAAGGCACAAAACCAATCCATATCACATTACAGACCATGATGATGAAGAAGAAGAAGAGGAGGAGGAGGAGATTGGATTTATACCCTGCCCTTCCCTTGGAGTCTCAGAGCTGCTTACAAACTCCTTTCCCTTCCCCTCCCCACAACAGACACCCTGTAAGGTGGGTGGGGCTGAGAGAACTCTGACACAAACTGCTCTTTCAGGAACAGCTATGCCAGAGCTTGTGACTGACCCAAGGTCACATCAGCAGGTGCAAGTGGAGGAGTGGGGAATCAAACCCGGTTCTCCCAGATTAGAGTCCGCACACTTAACCACTACACCAAACTGAAGAAGAACTAGTGTTATAAAAGACAAGTAAAACAAATGAAGATGACACACAGGTCATTTAAGTCTGTCTGTGCATTTTTATCCTGCCCTTCCTTCAAGGAGCTCAAGGTGACATCCATGGAGCCCCCAAGCCTCAATTTATCCCCATGACATTCCTGTGAGATAGGTCAAGCTGAAAGAG